TTTTCTGTTTTTCTATTGTTAAGGCTAATATTATATTTTGGTTACTATTATAACAATAATATAATATTAATATGCTAATAACAGTACTATATTAAAGGTTTGCAAATGTAAGTTAATAATACAATATTAAAATTGTATTATTATTTAACATATAATCAAGATTTCCCTTCTTAAATCAGTTAACCTCTCTCTATAAAGATTCAAAAATTTCAACGAATGAACACTCTAAAGGAACAATGTACAAATAAAATAAAAATGAAAATAAAACATTCACTTAAAACATTTCAAAATGTTCCAAAAGTCCAGTAAAGGTGATAAACTTTCAAAAAGATTCTTTTGCAAAACAACTAGGTTGCAAATTCAGTTCCAGAGATCCAGGATGTTGCACTTGTGAGTGTGTTGTAAATTTACACTCCTACCATGACGTTGAATAGGTTTTACTTTGTATCTTTTCAACAGGTGTATCCAAAGAATCCACTCAATGGGAGGCTCGCCAGTCCAACTCCACAATGAGACACGCCGATGGAAGTTGAGACAATCCAAATCCAGAAAAGAGTTCAAACTTCAATTAATTCGAATCCAGAGCAGATCACATCCAGCAACTGACGTCAATAGAGCATCTCACCGATGAAAAACCAGAAGAAGATGCACAAACGAACAAAACCAAACAAAAAAAAAAAACCTGGCCTTGAAAACACAAGGCCAAAGAAACCATTAGCATTTTACAGTGAATGCATTAACTCAGCTTAACACATTTCTAAATAAACAGCAACAGTAAATAACCATGTATATGCTTCTCTCTGCTGAATTTCTGTGTTTTTCCTATTTCTCTCTCCTATTTGGCATTTTCTTTTTATAAATGACAGCATTTTACTCTTTCACTTAAACTTTACACAATCACTTGTATAATACTCTGTATAATACTTTGTTTTTACTAGACCAGACAAATGGTTAATTAATGAAACACATTTTTTTGACACTAGTTTAAATCATGTTATAATGAATACAATAATAATTAATAAAAACACGAACTCACCAAGGAAACATTCAAAATCAAAGCGAAAAAAATAGGAAAACTCCAGGTGGCACTCGTGTGCAGATTTCACTCTCAGAAACAAATCTTGTTTTTTTCTTCTCTCAATCCTTCATTAAAAATATATAATTGAAATCATGTCAGCATCTTATTAATGGTCAATTTTCACAGTTAATACGCATTAAAACATTAAAAGATGTAAATCTAATAGTTATATTACTTTTATTAATATAACAACTTACATCTCTGCTTTCCCTTGCGAACACTGAATCACCATAGCAACGGTAAACACAAGCTAACAGACAAGCGAGATTTGTTATTGTTTGGAAAGCTGATCTGCTGCTATAGTGTAAGGCACGATGATGTCATTCTAAAGCACTATTCCCTTGAATGCTGTATAATACTCTATTATAAATTATTTATATAAGTAAATAATTTTAATGTATATTATTTAATCGAGTATTCTGCCAATGTTTTTTCCTCATATTTCTATTTGCTCTATTGCTGTATACTACCCACTAGTAACCTGGGTTACATTTGTAATTAACTGGACCTATGTGTTAGGCAGATGTTTAAGAGAGTTTCCTTCCGGTCTGCTCGTGCCCTCGTCACACAGTCAGCGAGACTCTCAGTGAAGGGAATCCCGCGGAGCTTATGGTCTGCTCCTCTAATAGTAGGCTGTGTGTGGATCTGCAATGCAGTGCAGGTTTCCCCAGCTCTCCCTCCCTCTCAGACGGCTATCCTCTGCAGTCTGTGCGCTAAAATCCTCTCGGTGTGTTGGGTTTCCGTTTACCGTCGCTTACAGGTGAGTCTCCACAGAGCCACAGCGCCCCCAGCAGAGAGGAAAACACACTGCACCAGACTCGACTACACGGACTGAATAACAATCGACTCAAGATTTGAATTATTGGTTATTTTATAAGTTGAACAAAGTAAAATTTGGTTAATTTTTTGAAAGATTAAACACGTGATTTAGCAGTTAACACATTTATTATTCTTAGGAAGTTGTTTGTACATTAGAACAGATCCAGTCACATTACAAGAATCTATAAGCATTATCAGCAATAAAATACGTTTTCTTTTCTATTAAAACATTTTTATTTTAAAAGTTCTCAACATTACTCAAAATTCAAAAGATATTGTGCTAGTTTAATTGGTGTCCAACAGCGTGTGGCTTAATTGTAACACCCTGTTACAGCTAATCCCGCTGTGCATGTTTTCCTCAAAACCAGCTAGCAGTCACCGTGTGTTTCTTACATCTTTCAAAATGGTTTATTCCTTGATCAAGACAGTGATCACAAAAATCTAAGATTTTACATTCATACTTTCATAAACAAAACTATATTGACTAACGTAGACCAACCATATTCTGTACACTGTTCTGTACAGATTACCTTAACGCTAATCTCTGAATAAACACTTACAGGTCGTTGGCAAGCTATATATATATATATATATATATATATATATATATATATATATATATATATATATATATCCCTGCTGAAAAATCCAGCTTAAACCAGCCTAGGCTGGTTGGCTGGTTTTAGCTGGTCGACCAGGCTGGTTTTAGAGGGGTTTTGGCCATTTCCAGGCTGGTCTTAGCTGGTCAGGCTGGGAGATGACCAGCTAAAACCAGCTTGACCAGCCTAGCCAGGCTGGGAGCCCAGCCAAAACCAGCTATGTCCAGCTTAAACCAGGCTGGTCAAGCTGGTTTTAGCTGGATTTAGCTGGTCATTTTCCAGCCTGACCAGCTACGACCAGGCTGTAAATGGCTGAAAACCAGCCTGGAAATGGCCAACACCCCTCTAAAACCAGGCTGGTCAACCAACTAAAACCAGCCAACCAGCCTAGGCTGGTTTAAGCTGGATTTTTCAGCAGGGTATATATATATATATATATGTGTGTGTGTGTGTGTGTAAACTTTATTTCTTAACCCCAAGCACAACAGAGACCTTCCTACTATGTGTTTCCCGAGTAAATTCAGTAAGTTTGCTTCGTCCACCTAATGTGCTTGAAAATAGACAGTGGGCAAGCTTAAGGTGTGAGTGTCGCCGGGTAGGGGACGAGACATTTAACGAGTAAATAGAAAGTTTATCTGATATTCTTTTGATGTTAAAAACTGGAACACTAAAAGCCACTCCTACTTTATTTTCCCCATCTTTTGATGCATCAGAAGATATTTGATTATATCCATCATAATTTCTCTTTATATATTCATATGCGTTTTGGGTCATCTCTTCCTTCTTTATTTAACAGTCCCTAATGGAAAATCCAGCTTAAACCAGGCTAGGATGGTTGGCTGGTTTTAGCTGGTTGACCAGCCTGGTTTTAGAGGAGTTTTGGCCATTTCCAGCCTGGTCTTAGCTGGTCAGGCTGGAAAATGACCAGCTAAATCCAGTAAAAACCAGCTTGACCAGGCTGGTTTAAGCTGGACATAGCTGGTTTTGGCTGGGCTCCCATCCTGGCTAGGCTGGTCAAGCTGGCTTTAACTGGTCTTCTCCCAGCCTGACCAGCTAAAACCAGGCTGGAAATGACTAGAAACCAGTCGTGTCAGATCTATTGTGGGTTGCGATATTAACCATAATGGAACTGTTAAGGCACTCGGACTTATTGGTACTTCATTCAAATTAAATTGTTTAATTATTCTAGGTATAACACATCCAAAGTTTTTAATTTCAGTCTTTCCATCCCCATGCTGGTTCTATCAATATTCTTGACGGATGCTGCAGGTTGTGCCTCATGAAATTAACCCAATACCTTAACAACATCTCAGTTCTCCGGGTGTCTGAAGGCATTTCCTCCATTTCTACTTGAAGAGCAGCAACAGGCCTTTTTCACGGATGGTAGCACGCACATCCGGTTGAGCGGTAGTTGCGTATTCTTACTCCGGCTGGAGCAATAGCGTCAGATACGCTATGGTTTTCACTACCTCTTTGAAAACTTTGCCAACATTTACCATTAACAGCGGCTGTTTATTGTCTTGTGGATCGACATCTACCGCTCCACACTCGTAAAGTTGTGCAGTACAAGGGCGGCAGCATCATGTTGTGGGGCTGCAGGAGGGACTGGTCCACTTCACAGCATAGATGGCATCATGAAGACAGAACATTATGGAGAAATACTGAAGCAACATCTCAACACATCAGCCAGAAAACTTGGCCACAAATGGCTCTTCCAAACAGACCATGACCCGAAGCACACTGCCAAATCAGTTCACATGTGCTTTAAGAACAACAGAGTGAATGTTTTGGAGTGGCCATCACAAAGCCCTGATCTCAATCCTATAGAGAATGTGTGGGCAGAGTTGAAAAAGCTTGTGTGAGCAGGACAGCCTACAAATCTGACTCAGTTACAGCAATTCTGCAGGAGGAATGGGCCAAAACTCCTGCAAACTATTGTGAGAAGCTTGTGGAAGGAGACCCAAAACACTTGACCAAAGTTAAACAGTTTAAAAGCAAAGCTAAACAATACCAAGGAAATGTGTGTAAACTTCTGACTGTCTAGGAATTAATAACAAATTCCCTCGTTATTCTGGCATTTAGCAAATGTAAATCTATTTAGGAAATCCTAACAGACCTAAAATAGTAAACGTTTTGTGATTTACAATCAGACATTTTTCTAAAAATGGTTATGTTCCTCTTTTTCAGAACGTATGTGAAGCTCTGCTTTCAACTGTATATGCAGTGCTAAATATACAGTACAGTGCAAAGCACAAATACAGCTGATGTGCACTCAGAGGAGTTTATTTTGCACATGTTAAAACAGAGGATGGTAGTTTGGCTGACCTCTCTCCACATTGTGCCAGTGTTTTTATACGGGAGAGGTGCTGGCTGCCATGGAAACCATGTGAGCGAGCGCTGTGATTGGTGCTGAGCCCGGGATCGTCCGTTGTTGCCCGCTCAGAGAAGTGCTGAGTGGACCGTCCTGTTGAAACACCACCCCCCTCTCGTCGCCCCATGGAGCCGCTGCACTTCCTATTGTCCCTGCAGATTTTGTTTTTTTCCATCCTGGTTGAACTTTCTAGCGTGACACTAATAAGTCCATTAGCATCATATATGTGGCTTAGCAGGGCGCAGGGGGCATAGCCTAACAAATGTGCGGAGTCAATTGGTAAGAAACACTTTCTGTTTTATTCATTATTAAGATGCTGGGATTAACTTATGCTGTTTATCCTTAGACATGGAGTGCTTATGTATGATTTATTGATCGAGATCTGAACTCGCTCTGCTTGGCTTAAATGATTTTATTTCTCTTTATTGGACTAAATGTTTTGAGTTGGGCGGATTTATACTGTATTTCCTATTGTTATTGTTGTCTTGTAGTCTTTAAAGTAATTTCTTATTAATATTAGTATTATTAAGGATGTTTTGGTGTTAAATTCAGTGCACAAAATTGGTTTTATATATAAGAGTCTCCTTTAATGCTTTATTCAAATCCATTGACACCAAAAGTGAAAATGTCGCATTATCATTCAGCATATTTACCTGAAATCTATTTATTCTGACCTAATATATCATACTAAATAGGTATTTTTAAAATTATTAAATACTGAAAGGGTATACCTAGATAATTGAATCAATGTGGTAAAATATAAAGACTTAAACTAGCAATTAATTGATATTTCGGGGACAAAATGTGATACTAAATTTCCTTGATGAGATTATTTGACATTAAAAAATGAGTAGGTGTAATTTTGTAATTAATGGTAAACACATATGTTGTCTTTTAACCCAGATAAGTCTGTTTTATAATCTTATGGCTGATATAGATTGACATTTAAGCAGTTGTTTTACATTTAAAAGTCATTATTTTTCAAGATTGCTACGATTATTGGAAAATAAAACCTACTTCATGTACTCAACTTCAAAAATGTCAAGTTTAATCCAATGTGTGAACTGCCGTTTCTATGTAAGTGAAAATTGTATGCTCAGCATTTATTTCAGTTTAAATTTCTTCAAAGAAAGCCAATATTTGGTACACAGATAACTAACGTAGGCCTCTTTGTATTGGCAAGACAAAAGGAAGCCAAAAAAATGCAGACCAGAAGCATCTCAGTCCCAAAATACCTCAACAACTCAAGCTAAAAGTCAAGATATTGTTAATATTTGGAGACCAGATGACTTATTGCTGAAGTGATCTTAAAAACAATGGACTATTATAAGGATGAATCCAATTCCGGAAGAAAACGTGTCAGCTGTGAAGTAAACATCCACTTTTGGACATCTTTTTTGATGATTTTGCTGTAAAATCTGTGAAGTTATGGCCAGTCGAAGCTTAAATGTTGACTAAACCAATTGGCAATAAAAGATTCAGATTCAGTATTTGTGAAAATCTGCAGAGCTTTCAGTGAGGATCAAGATAGGTTGTGAAGTTTATCTCTAAAACATTGGCTAATGTGTTTTTTGAGGATTTTACTGTGAAATCTGTGGAATTTATGGCCAGTCGAAGCTAAAATTATTGAATAAAAATGGCGAGAAATGATTCAGATTCAGTATTTGTGGAAATCTGCAGCGCTTTCAGTGAAAATCGAGATAAATTGGGAGTGCTACTTCATGTACTCTACTTCAAAAATTGTATGCTCAGCATTTATTTCAGTCTAAATTTCTTCAAAGAAAGCCAATATTTGGTACACAGATAACTAACGTAGGCCTCTTTGTATTGGCAAGACAAAAGGAAGGCAAAAAAATGCAGACCAGAAGCATCTCAGCCCCAAAATACCTCAACAACTCAAGCTAAACGTCAAGATATTGTTAATATTTGGTTATGAAGATCGCCAATATGTAAGATATGCCAGATGACTTATTGCTGAAGCGATCTAAAAAACAATGGACTATTATAAGGATGAATCAAATTCCGGAAGAAAACGTGTCAGCTGTGGAGTAGATATTCATTTTTGTACATCTTGATTATAAACAAAGCTCAACCCAAAGTGTATGAAAGAGTAAACACACAACTCCTGTAGGAGATATTTTAAAGGCAAGCTCCTGAGAGATAGAATTGGACGAGGAAAAAGAAAAACAACAAGGCCTCAAAGCAAACAATGTTGATTTAACATGGAGCCCCTCTGAGGGAACAACAATGGCTTCAGCGTGGACGTAGCATCCAAACGTTGCTAGATCTCTCTCTGGCCTGTCGGGTCGCGCTCGACCAGCAAAAGCTAAAACAATTGAAGGTTTTTTTATTTTCCATCGAGCTCAGCAGTCAGATGTGCGAGACATGTATATAAAAGCTGGGGCAGTTATACTGCCAGCCTTCATCTGAAAGTCCTATTATGTGACCGTGTGGTGTGTGTGAACGCGGACGCTAGCATTATTGCTATGGGGCTTCGGTGAGGAGTGTTACTGGTTGAGGTACTGTGTTCTGCTGTTCGGTGGAAACGCTTCACTTCATCAGGACGCAAGTTTCCGGCTTACTTGTGTTGTCCATTAATTAGAATCAGTGGAATTTATGGCCAGAAGATAAAGTTTTAATTAAAAATTGGTAGGAATAGATATAGATTAGCTATTTGTGGAAATCTGCAGAGATTTGAGTCAAGAGTGAGATAGATTGGGAAATTGCATTCAGAAAAATGGCTAATGCCTTTTTTTTTTTTTTTTAATGATTTATGAATAATGAATAATTTTAATAGAATTTATGGCCAGTCAAAGCTAACGCTAAATAAACCAATTGGCCGGAAAAGATTCAGATTCAGTATTTGTGCAACTCTGCAGGGATTGGAAAGTTTATCTCTATAAATAATGGCTAATGTGTGCTTTTTAGGTTTTTTAACATCTTTTTTAAGGTTTTGCTGTCAAATCTGTGGAGTTTATGGCCAGTCGAAGCTCAAATGTTGACTAAACCAATTGGCGATAAAAGATTCAGATTCAGTATTTGTGGAACTCTGCAGGGATTGGAAAGTTTATCCCTATGACTAATGGCTAATGTGTGTTTTTAAGGTTATTTTTTAGACTTTTTTAAGGTTTTGCTGTCAAATCTGTGGTTTATGGCCAGTTGAAGCTCAAATGTTGACTAAACCAATTGGCGATAAAAGATTCAGATTCAGTATTTGTGGTAATCTGCAGAGCTTTCTGTGAAAATCTAGATTGAATGTGAAGTTTATCTCTAAAACGATTGGCTAATGTGTTTTTAGATGATTTTACTGTCAAATCTGTGGAATTTATGGCCAGTCGAAACTAAAATGTTGATTAAACCAATTGGCGATAAAAGAATTTATGGCCAGTCAAAGCTAACGCTAAATAAACCAATTGGCCGGAAAAGATTCAGATTCAATATTTGTGGAACTCTGCAGGGATTGGAAAGTTTATCCCTATGACTAATGGCTAATGTGTGTTTTTTAGGTTATTTTTAATACTTTTTTAAGGTTTTGCGGTATAATCTGTGGAGTTTATGGCCAGTCGAAGATCAAATGTTGACTAAACCAATTGGCGATAAAAGATTCAGATATTTGTGGAAATCTGCAGAGCTTTCTGTGAAAATCGAGATTGAATGTGAAGATTATCTCAAAAACGATTGGCTAATGTGTTTATAGATGATTTTCTGTCAAATCTGTGGAATTTATGGCCAGTCAAAACTAAAATGTTGATTAAACCAATTGGCGATAAAAGACTCCGATTCAGTTTTTGTGGAAGTCTGCAAAGATTGGGAAGTTTATCTCAATGACATATAGCGAATGTGTTTTTCTTTATGATAATTTTGCTGTAAAATCTGTGGAGTTTATGGCCAGTCGAAGCTTAAATGTTGACTAAACCAATTGGCGATAAAAGATTCAGATTCAGTTTTTTTGGAAGTCTGCAAAGTTTTCTGTTAAGATCAAGATCGACTGGGTAGTTTATCTCAATGACAAATGTCTAATGTGTGTGTTTTTTGATGATTTTGCTGTAAAATCTGTGGAGTTTATGGCCAGTCAAAGCTAAAATGTTGACTAAACCAATTGTCGATAAAAGATTCAGATTCAGTATTTGTGAAAATCTAAATTGAATAAAAAGAAAATGTGGAAAATTATTCAGATTCCGTATTTGTGGAAATCTGCAGAGCTTAATTGAAAATCTAGATAAAGTTTGTCTCAATGACAAATGGCTAATGTGTTTGCTCATGATTTTGTTGTGAAATCTGTGGAATTTACGGCCAGTCGAAGCTAAACTGTTGACTAAACCAATTGGCGATTCAGTATTTGTGAAAATCTGCAGAGCTTTCATTGAAAATAGAGATAAATTGGGAAGTTTATCTATATGACAATTGGCTAATGTGTTTGCTGATGATTTTGCTGCTAAAAAAATTTAATAAACCAATTGGCCGGAAACGATTCAGATTCAGTATTTGTGGAAATCTGCAGAGATTGGGAAGTTTATCTCAATCACAAATGTCTAATGTGTGTTTTTTGATGATTTTTCTGTAAAATCTGTGGAATTTATAAGTGGTCAAAGCTAAAATTTCTAATTAAAAAAATGGCGGGAAATGATTCAGATACAGTATTTGTGGAAATCTGCAGAGCTTTCTGTGAAAATCGAGATAGGTTATGAAAGTTTATCTCAAAAACGATTGGCTAATGTGTGTTTTTTTGATGATTTTGCTATAAAATCTGTAGAATTTATGGCCAGTCGAAGCTAAAATTTGTAATAAAAAATGGCGGGAAAAGATTCAGATTCAGTATTTGTGAAAATGTAGATAGAATGTGAAGTTTATCTCAATGACAAATGAGCTAATGTGCTTTTTGATGATTTTGCTATAAAATCTGTAGAATTTATATGCAGTCGAAGCTCAAAACTAAACCAATTAGAGATAAAAGATTCAGATCCAGTATTTGTGGAAATCTGCAGAGCTTGGGAAGTTTATCTCAATGACAAATGTCTAATGTGTGTGTGTGTTTTTTTCTCTATGATTTTGCTGTAAAATCTGTGGAGTTTATGGCCAGTCAAAGCTATATTTTTGACTAAACCAATTGGCGATAAAAGATTCAGATTCAGTACTTGTGGAAATCTGCAGAGCTTTTAGTGAAAATCTAGTTGGATTGTGAAGTTTATGTCAAAAGCAAATGGCTATTGTGTTTTTTTATGTTTGTACTGTCAAATCTGTGGAATTTACGGCCAGTCGAAGCTAAAATTTTGACTAGT